ATGTGTGACTTCATCCCTAAGACGTGTGCACACACCGACTTGCCAAAAGGGCTTGAGTGATATTGAACCTTTCAATTTTACAATCTTGTGGGTTAGGGAGAATAATTGGAGGAGGAGGAGGAAGTGAAGCATGATTTCTTGTTCCTCGATCGAATCGTGGAATATCATCTTCATGTGGAATGCTTGTTCCACGGGATTTGAGAAGACCATAGTTGTCGAACTTTGACATCGGGAGAAAAACGAATTCAAGTTAGTTGATTGATTGAGTCCTTGGTAAATCACCCAAATGAAATTCCAAGGCTAGGACCCAACACAATATCCTACAACTCGGGAGAGGGATGCCGTAACCCAAATTGCAGAACATTTGAAGGTAAGTGAATGACGATTCACTAATTTCCACCATGAAAAACGAAAAAGAAATTTAAGTTTTAAATCTATGAAAACTCCTAGATCCTTTGAGATTCATTGAACATTTCAATGGCATGTTTAAATCTCGATATGCCCCTCTTGTTTGTGACTGGGATGCCGAGGATCACAAAGCGGGTGTGAATAACCATGCAAACTACATGGTGCCCTCACATGTTACAATCACCTATTCGATGTGCCGGTAAACCACACACGCTCCACCGAACTATGACAAACATTGAGTCACCCTTTGCTACCTTTGCTTAGAACCATTTAGTGTGCCGGTAAACCACACACGCTCCACTAACGTCTTCGCAAGGGCACAAAGTGTAATTTCATGGAATTGCATCAATTCACTTTTGCCTAAGTAACTAAGATTGGGAATTTGAAAAACATTTAGTTACTTTGTATTTCATTATACTTATAATGGAAGGTTTCGTCCTATCCTACCCGTTCGGCTAACGACCCTCCACTAGTCAAGAGTGCGGTGGGTAAGAGTGGATACCCATTCAATCGCCATTTTATAGGCAATTTCCTTAAACACCCCTTATAGACCAGCTTCGTGAATGAGGCCTACTAACGGTAAGACTGACTTTTACTCATACATATATATAATGTTAGACTTTTAATGTTATATATAGTATAGAGTGTATTTTATACTTTTAAAATACTATATGGTTAACTTTAACAATTACACTTTTAATTCAATTAAAAGGTTAACCTAAACTTTTATGGATTTATTAAACCTCTTTTAATTATACTCCTTAATTAATTAATAAAACCATAAGGGTGTGATTTGAACTTTTCAAAACATTACTAGAGTTTTAGAATTTAACATTTCTAATTAAACCTTTAATCAACTTTTAAATTCCAAAACTTGAGGGCAAGTTTTGAAACATTTCAAAACATTAGGGTTTTAACTATTTAAATTTCAAAACTTCAAAACTTTTGGGTTCAAATTTAAACTATAAAACCTAAAGGGGAAAATATGAAACTTTTCATAACAACAAGGATCAAATAACAAATAATCTAAACTAACATTTAATTACATAATTATCCATATTTGATTTGTTTAATGATTTCTTGCAAAACAATTTATCAATTTACTCAAAATAATTAATCAATTATCTTATAAGGAAACAATTATCTTGTTAATTGATAATTATCTTTAATTAGATCAAGAATATAGTCATATATATCATAAAATCGGATTTATATTGATCTAACATGATAAGGTAACTATCCATATGCAAAAACAGCAAGAAATCCCGAGATAAGCATTATCTGACGCTCAACTCGCCGAGTACCACACTGTACTCGCCGAGTTGAGGTCTACTCGCCGAGTTCCTCAGCCATAAAGCCAAAAAACGATTTTCCAGTTATACAATGCATCAATACAATTGAAACCAAGCTAGGCTCTGATACCACTGATGGGTTTTGGTCATAAGACATCCTATGTGCTCATACAAACCCTAATGCTTGGATCTAGGTTTCTCTATTGTACATGCTTTGAATCCAAGACTATAAACCCTAATTCTAGCATACAAGTAATCATATTAATATGTAATTAGGTTTAAGATCATACCTTGATTGTTATGTAGCAATAACAATCCCAATTCCTCCTTGATTGACTTTGGAAGGCTTAGAGTCACAAGTGTCACTCCTCTAATGGTTCACAAACACCATAAGCAAGAGGATGAAGAGGAGAGAGGTTGGAGGCTGCCAAAAACGTGTGTAAACCCTTACAAGAACATTAGCCACGTTTTTGAGCCTTAAGGGGTCTTTATATAGTTGGGCTATTAGGGTTATCTAACAAGGAAACCCTAATTTGGATGCTTAAGCCCTAAGCAACCCATAGACTCCTTTTATTAAGCCCATGGACGATTTCCTTACGGGTTTCCCATTAGAATTCGTCCATCCCTTAATACAAGGCAATCCATGGCCCAAATTGCAATTATCTTATAATTACAATTCCAGTCCCTTAAGTTTAATTAATCTCTTTTAGTCACAAAACTAATTACCAATTAATTATTGACTAATATTAATTAAACAATATGATTTCTCCTTTAATATATTATTCCCATAATATATTAATAAATCATATTTAATCCTTTCTCTCCATAATTCATCCTATCAAGTTGCTTTGGTGAAGGCAACCCAAAAGGACCATGCATCATCGGGTCAAGTACATACCAAAATAGTTATGGACTTAGACACTACTCCAACAATAAGAGCATGGGACAAGTGTAATAATTCAAGTAAGAAGTTGATTACCCGAAACAACAAATAATGAGTAATCGATATGGTGATAAATAAAAGGTGTTTTATTTATACTCAAAAGTTTGAGGCCATATGGGATTAGTATTATTCTTGTGTTTCACTTTGCATGTTTGACTTCCTGAATAATTTAATTTGTTAAGAACAGTCAAATTATTCAAACGGGCCACAGTCGTTCATATGTTGGAAGTAGATATGAATGAAGACTGACGTGAATTGGTGTGTGGATTGTTTAAAGAGTATTAGACATAAGCAAATGTTTGCTGCAACGTTCATGAGTGCTTATGAATATGATCTGAGCATTGGATTAAACCCATGCTCACTTGGATCACTTCATGGATTTTATCACGAGTGATTGGTGAGACGATAACATCTTATATTCTTGAAACCGAGATGTGTGAGTTGTATCTTGCAAATCGGTTGCGTATTGATGATATGTAAACGCACTAGTAACTTGGTGTTATAAAACATATTGTTGTGTGTGATTCAGTGAGTTAGTGCAAGCGAACATTGAGTCAAAGTTTATCCGTTCCTTTTATTCAAAGTAGGATAAAAGCGATATCTATGGGACCCTCGATGATTTAGTGATGACAAACATAAATGCTCGGCCGGGCTAGGGCTAATTTGATTTGTTCAATTAGTCAGTCGTCATAAATCGGAAGCCGGGAAATAATATAGAGAGAATGATTAGAAATCATGTCTTAAACGATATCTAGAATGGAGGAATATATGATCCCTTATCTAAAGGACACGCGTATATGATAGGATCAGAGTTGACTGCAGCTTTGGAAAGCTACGATTGCAGATCAGGATCTGAAGTCATACGCAAAATAGTTATTAGACTTATCCAAGTAGGAGACTGTTGGATTAGTGTCTAAGTCCATAACTATTTTGGTATGTACTTGACCCGATGGTGCATGGTCCTTTTGGGTTGCCTTCACCAAAGCAACTTGATAGGATGAATTATGGTGAGAAAGGATTAAATATGATTTATTAATATATTATGGGAATAATATATTAAAGGAGAAATCATATTGTTTAATTAATATTAGTCAAGAATTAATAAGAATTAAGTTTGTGACTAAAAGAGATTAATTAAAACTTAAGAGACTGGAATTGTAATTATAAGATAATTGCAATTGGGCTATGGGTTACCTTATTATATAAGGTTGGACGTATTCTATGGGGAAACCCATAAGAAATCGTCCAAGGCCTTTAAGTAAAGGAGTCCATGGGTTGCTTAGGGCTTAAGCATCCAAATTAGGGTTTCCTTGTTAGATAACCCTAATAGCCTCACTGTATATAGAACCCTTAAGCCCCAAAAACATATGGAACTGGTTCTCTAGGGTTTTGGACGGTTTTGGGTAGCCTCCTTATCTTCTCCTCTTCATCCTCTTGCTCTTGGTGTTTGTGAACCATTAGAGGAGTGCCATTTGTGACTCTAAGCTTTCTAAAGTCATTACAAGAAGGAATTGTGATCGTTATTGCTACATAACAATCAAGGTATTATCTTAAACCCATTATTATGTTAATGTTGATTTTCATATGCTAGAATTAGGGTTTATAGTCTTGGATAAATTGCATGTACAATAGAGAAACCTAGATCCGAGCATTAGGGTTTGTATGAGCACATAGGATGTTCTTATGACTAAAACCCATCAAAAACATGGTCTACGTTATACTTATTGTGGTTAGCTGTCAACACCTCTCTGCAAAAGAATATGACTGTGTATGAGAGGTATATTTATCAGCATAAACGTTTATCTCAATATATATTATGGTGATGTATCTACAAAAGCAGCATGATATTGTACATATTGATGTTGTATCTTATCCCATGAATTCGATCTTAAAGCTAAGTAAACCCAAAAATCACAGCACTTGTTATTCCACTAGCTTGTAGACTTGTTTAGAATCCATGATACGATAAATCATTTGATTGGAAATGTAAATGTAGTCATGAAATGTGTCTGCTTAGTCAAGATTTCCCTAATAAATATTCAAGTGCATTACAAAGTTGTACATGTATGAATAATGTTCTTTTGTGGGTTATGTTTTAAAGAAAAGTAAGAATGAATCTCATAAAGTCATTAATATCAGTAGGGGATGACGTGGGATTTGCTGTAAATGGGTAAAAGGAAAATGAATCAGGAGGGTAACCAACTGTTGCATTTGTTCTCATTTGGTCACTTTCCTTTTTTTTTTTGTACTCAATATACCATCGAACTTGTTGTTTGTGTTCACCATAACCCTTTGACCGGCTATCACAAGTCAAAAGCCGGTCAAAAGGGTTTTGGTGAACGCAAACAACAAGTTCGATGGTATATTGAATACACAAAAGAGAAAATGGACCAAATGAGTATAAACGCAAAAGTTAATTACCCTCAAGAGTCATTTTCCTTTTGTTTTCATGAATTGATTGAATTTATGAATTTATGATACATTTTCCAAGAAAAAACGTTTTCACTAATGACTAATTCACAAAATGTATTTTGGGAAGTTGATATAAGTTAAAAACTATGATTGTTGGGTTCCAAAGTTTGGTCATTTCAATGAAAATCAACCCATTAATAGGTGATAGCCAAATGTAATTGAAGGTAGGTATGATTATATGTTAAATGTTATTATCTTGCCATAAAATTAAGCAACTTAGAACACATTATACTTAAATTGTAATTTGGTCTAACTGAAACCGACAAATACATATGAAGATAATGCAAATTTCACGAAAATCGAGGTATTTGATATTTCGATAATTATTCGCTAAAACCTAAAAATAAAAACATTTTTTTTGCATGATGAAATAATGTAAAAAAGGAGAGTTAGGGGTTGTCGGTAGTGATTCGTGCTATTTGCTAAAGTTGAAAACTTGAAAGTCGTATACAGTCTCGCCGCGCCAATCTCGTCCGCCACCACCCACCGGATATTAAACTGCCACAGCTGCTTCCTCAACCTCGCGCACTTGGTCTTCTGAAATTTCTAGTATCACTTCTATTTCGTAAGTTCCGATGGAAACTTAATATAAAATCTCAAATTACTTTATATCTTGTCTCGAATTCATATTCTTTTTCTTCGAAATGCAATTAATCGTTTAAAACGGTATAATTCTAAAATTAGAGTATTCTAGGGTTTTTTCTTTTGAAGCAGCATAACATTTTGTTTCACCAATTAAGATTTGTTTCGAGTAAAAGTGGTCATCTTGTTGTAAAACCCTCATGATTTTCAAACTGGAACGTGTTTTCCGATTTGGTATGTTGGCTAGATTGATGAACTCTTGAATTAGATTTCTTAATAGGAAGAATGCTAGAGGTTGGGTGGTTTTGCCTTTACTCGTTTCTTATCATGTTAGAGATCAATAGAGCGTGTGTTTGATAACAACTCCATTGATGTACTTGATGTTAACTGTTAGTTTCCATACATAGGCTGGATCAATAAATTTGCATATGAAAGGGAGAATCTTGAAGATCAGCAATGGTATATGAGTGATTACCCATGCTTTTAGATTAGACATCTTATGATTTTTATGAATCAGTCCTAGTACATTTGAGCTAGAAAGCAAGGATCTTGTTACATGTGTGAGAACTCGAGTTTCCATATATTATGGATGAAGAGACTGAATTAACGAAATTATAAATTAAAGATACATAATATTCCATTTCCATATTACTCTTTATTCTAAATCCTAAACCCTATGTAGAACTGGAACTATTGGTTATTAACTTATTATACTTATTAATTTTGTTAAAATAGTCATAACATGATCTTTAAAACTTGATCTTTTTGCAGATGTCACAACAGAAGGAGGATGCACTTATAAACGAATCTATTGATTGTAAAGAAAAAGACAATAATCAAGATCAAGATGTAGGTAAGTTTTGTAAATATGTTTGGATTTATTATCACCTATATTTGTCACTAAGTTTTGTAATAATATATTCATGACCTTTTTGTTGTGCAATCAGTTTCATCAGATGATGATGTAATAGACTATTCTGTGAAGCCTGAGTTATATGATCCAAATCTTGATGATAAAGATCAACTCTGGATTCAAAAGAAAAGAAAAGGTCAATATTCTGATGCAGTTCTCACCTGTCCTGCATGTTTCACAACCCTATGCCTTGAGTCTCAAAGGTATTTTCATTCCCCTGTTTCCTTTTCATGTAAGGGTAAAACGGTCATTTAGTCTCTGCTCTAAAAAGCTAGCTTGCTATTTTGTGTTGAGTCTTGAATCGATTTTAGAAGCTTTGTTGTATCTTGAAATACTGAATTTGGGGTTTGTTGTTTTGTTACTTATTAGGCATGAAAAATATGTGACACAATATCGAGCAATGTTTGTGTTGAATTGCAAGATCAAGAAAGGGCAACACGTATCATCATCATCATCATCAAAAGATAAAGGAAGTTTAAAAAGAAAAAGAGTTAGAAAAAGTTTAGCAGTTGATGGTGAATCATTTACTCCAGTTTGTTGCTCAGTTTGTGAGACTGAAGTTGGGGTTATTGATGATGATGAGGTTTACCATTTCTATAATGTTCTTCCAAGTGAATGTTGATTATCATTCATATGTTTTAAGTTTAGATTAATGAGGAATTATGCAACTCACATGAATTATGGTATAATGTTTACTTGAAAAACTACTTTGTTGCATAAGGGAGGAAGATAAGAAAAGTTGTGGTGGAGGTTGTGTATCAAATATCAATCCATGGTTTCCATATGCGATGCACTTGTAATGGAATTCTTGTTGCAAAGGATTTTCATGAGCACCATACTTTAACCAAATTCTTTTGGATAAAAAGGCAAAGATTTGGTTCAAGACAAAGTTAAAGTGAAAAAAGATATATTAAGATAATCATGTTTTTAAAACCTTTTTGGACTTGAAGGAAAAAAAAAAAAGATTTTATACATTCACGTCTAATCTTCTACATGATACATATTTTATTATATAGATGGACCCGGAGTTGTCGAATATTTGTTGAAAATCTTATGCTTCATCTTATTTGTATAGATTTTTAGAAAATAGAAAGGTTTTTTCGTTGTTTCGTTTTTCAAAATAATAATGAACAAAAGAAAAGATTATTCCTTTCTTTAGAAAAAAAAAAAAGGTGTTTGGTTACATTAAGGAATTGAATTCTTCATTACATAAGGAATCATATTCTCTCTGATCTGGTGACGTTTCATTCTTTAGTTCTTTACCCAACCCTGAATTTTATTTATTTATTTGTATTTTTTTTTTACCTCCTCCCATTGAAAATTGACTAAACTACCCATGACATAATTGCATCGATTTGGAAGCGCTTATGTTTCTTCAGTTTTAATAAATGAATTTACCAAAATTCAGTTCTGTGTTCCTCTAGCACATTATAATCGAGTTTACTATATGTACATAAACCATTTGATGAAATGCCTCGTGTGAATTTCAAAAAAAAAAAAAAAAAAAAAAAAAAAAAAAAAACTTATTATATTAAAACAGCGTATATGTACATTTGTTTCTGTGTTTTGTGATCCCTAACAAAATCTAGGGGAGGGGTAACTTGTATAACATTTTACAAAGGGTGTTTTGTAATTGGTATGATTGACTTAAAATCTTGAAGCTTATGATTTCTTCAAAGATAATTAATGTTTCTTGTTTTTGTTTTTAAGCAGTGTTGTTGGGAAATACTCGGTGGAAGTGAGGAATTTATCGTTGAGAATGTCCATTCCCAAACAAGTGAAGATGATACAGTCATCCTTAATGTCCGGAAGAAGCTTGGTTTTAACATACCTTTAAAATTTGTCGAAGTCTTTTATAATAAAAGAGTGATCTACATATAATCTATTTATATTAATATGATACCTCGTGTGTTTTTTTTTATTTTTTATTATTTCTTAATACCCATTTTATTGCAACATAAGATTATATCTTTAAATGGGTGACATGCTAAAAAAATATAAATGAGTAAATTATACGAATGGTCTCTATGGTTTAGGGTAATTTGCATGTTTGGTCTCTAATATATTTTTTTTAACTCAGAAAGTCCCTACTTTTTGTTTTTGTTACGCGCTTGGTCCCTATCTTACATAAAAATACTATTTTGGCTTTGATTTTTTTAATTTATTTAAATAAACGCACCTCCAACTCCACCCTCTTACCTTACCTTACCCATCACACCATTTTTTTTTCTATTTAAATAATAGTTTTTTTAGGTAAGACAAGGACTAAGTACGTAATAAAAACAAACAGTATGGACCAAGCGTGTAACAAAAACAAATAGTAAAAACTTTCCGAGTAAAAAAAATAAGTTATTGACCAAACGTATAAATTACACTAAACCATAGCGACCATTCATGTAATTTACTCTAAATTATATGTACTTTGTAGAGTAAATTATACAAATGGTCCATGCGGTGTGGTTTAGCGTAATTTGCGTGTTTTGTCAATAATTTACTTTTTTTTTTTAAACTCAGACCATCCTTATCGTTTGGTTTTATTATGCGCTTGTTCCCTGTTAGACTTAAAAGGACTATATTGTCCTTCTCTATTTTCTTTTTTATTTTTATTTTTTATTTTTTTGTCATTAATAAACTAAAATAAATATTTGATAAAATTACCGCCCCTCTTAATCCTTGAGTAAATTACTATTTTCCTTCCTTATGCTATCTGAAAGAGAACCCCGATGACTGATAACCAAGAATCACATAATCAATTAATTAGGCAAACATCCATTGATGGTTAACTTGAATCAATCCCAAAAATCTCAGGACCCGATCCACAAAATAGTAATCAAACCCTATTCAAACCTAAAAATCAAAATTATAAATCAAACCCATAAATTTATTCAAACCAGAAATCAAAATCACAAACCAAATACTAAAATCAAACACGGAAACTTATTCAAACCATAACTCATAACGATGTATATTGGAGCTTTACAAGACCTTGTGAGGAATTCAAAGCTTTTTGAAGACCCTGATGGTGGTGATGATATCACCGAAGACTATGGATTTGATTCTCAGGGATTGAGATGGGTTCGAAGATTTTACACACCGAAGAGATTTGTTTGAAGGAGTTTGATGATGGAATTTATGGTTGAGAGAAAGAAGACGATGCTGGTGATTTAGGTATGGTTTAGGGTTCTTCAAATGAAAGCAGATGGTGGTGGTGCCGAGATTTCCAATCTAAGTGTAGTTGAAGAAAATCCATATCAACTGAAAGGAAGAAAACGTTAATGCAGGGTTAAGAATGGAGTGGGTTCCACCATTCCTTTTTCGACTTCAATGAAGGCGTTCATGGTGGCAGATTGGGGGTTTAACAGGAAGGATCGTTGGTGGTGATGTATAGAAGCAAGATGCAGGATTAACGTAGGGTAGAGGTGTAGGGTTTGGCTCCACTTACTAGTAGTAGGTATGTTGGTGGTGATGGATGATACCTGAAGCTTTAGATATTTATTTGTAGGTTTCTTTGGTTTCTTTAGAGAAAAAGAAAGAGATAGATAGAAAAACAAATGGATGCGATAGGGAGGGATAAAACTCAAGTGGGTGACACCTATATTTAATAAATATTTTTTAACAAGTTAGAAATAAATAAAACAATTAAAATAGTCAATAAGGGCATATTGGTCTTTTTAAGTCGATTAGGGACAAAGTGCATAACAAAACCAAACTACAGGGATGATCTGAGTTAAAAAATAAGTTAGAGACAAAAAACGGAAATTACGTTAAACCACAGGGACCATTCGTGTAATTTACTCTACTTTGTAATTCAGGGTATTTTGTCATTGTCACTCAAATTCATCCCATTCATTTATATCCTCATATCAATTTGATTCCAAACAGCATGGATCAATATCCTTATATCTATTTCATTCCAACTCCAACGTATCAACTAAACATGAAAATGAAATAACAACAACAACAACAACAACAACAACTAGATGAGGAACCCTGCTTTATGGGGATGGATTTGGACAGCTCCGATCATTTTGGTCACTTCATGCTTGTTATCGATAGAAAGGATTGCATAGTAATTTGGAGTAAATATAGAGACTGTAATCCACTTACTCATTTAATATTACAAACAAACAGAACAAGAAAAATAGGTTAAATGCATGAAATAACTATGTATTTAACCCTGAGGAAAAGAACATATTGCAGGCACCTGGGAAGAATGAAAGTACTGAAGTTTAAAAAGTATTACAAAAATTAAAAGCAAATAAGTCAAATTCCATAATGTTGAAAATAGTATGTTATAAACCAAAAAAAGAAAAAAAATTATTTTTTTAAATTTTAGTTTAATGTGTAATATATCAACTTACTTTAGTATCTAACTGTCATTCCTTTCTATTCCAAAATAACATTCAGAAAGTAGAATGTTATTCTCAATCTATTTCTATTCCAAAAAATGAACATTTAAGTGTTTCATATAAACATAAATCTTATATGTAAGTTCTTGAGAAACAAATTCATGGTTTTTTATACTATCTATTGAATTAGGTAGCATCCATAATTCCATAAAAGGAGCTTGAATTTGTTTAATCCATGTCTCTTTAAATTATGTCCAGTTTGCACCTAAAATAGATGCATATCAAGTTAGAAATCATATTGTTTCAAGGTAAAAAGATAACAGATGGTGGCTATAATTAAGTAAACTGAAGTAAAAAAGTTTGATTAATCAGAAACTTGTCTTACAACACTACCAAAACAGAATTCGAGAAGCTAACTTCACTCATCTTAATTTCCATATAAAAGAGGCGAACAGGAACCCTCCAATAGCTGTTGGCGCAGGTAAATTTTCTCATATATTGTTATCATATTAAATCTTAATTTCAAGTTTAACATAAGAACCATTATTTAGGTGACATCATGGAATATTATGCATAATAGGTGGGAATAATGGAATATAGGATGTCCTGATACCTGGAACACAAAGGGTGTGCAAAAAAAAACCATAAAACCACAGAACCAAACCGATCTGGTCAACCTGAAACCGAAATAAGCCGAAACCGCATTAAATTGAAACCAAAAAAGTCGGAATCAAAATAACCGAGTACTTATGGGTTGGTTTTAGTTTGGATATCTAAATATTTGTGCATATTTGAAATTTTGTTCTCTGTTCCTAAGGAAAATATTTGTTTGTTTCATGTCAACTCATGTATAAAGTTGAATATCAATAAAGCTTTAAGCTTTACCTTCTTGAAATACACTTCTTGTTTTGAAATCTGTTGCTATGTCATATGAATGATTTTTTTTCAATACATTGTAGGCTAATTCCTAGACAACCTTCATAAAAGGCACAATAGAAAGAAGAATATTTAGGTCAAAGACATACTGGAAATAATCGATTTCCAAAAGCTTGGAAACTTTTGAAGAGACTGTAATAGTTCACCTACTGTAGCATAGCATCGTCATATGAGAACTCGATTAGTAATTTTACCATTCCATCAATATGTATCAGATTTAATGTCTATAGGTAGTAGCATGAAGTTGAAGAGAAGGATTTTTTTTATTTGCGGTGATTGAGACACATATATGATAGGAAGAAACAAAGCGAAATTCGACCAATTTAAACCCTAATTTCAAGTATATGAAAGAAATTGAGATTCAAAATAAAGATAAGTGGATTAAGAGAGAGCAAAGTGTTACCTGTTACCTTTTAGGGTCAAACGAAGGTCCAGGTCTAGCATGAAGTTGAAGAGCATGAGTTCTTGTTTCTTTGTGATGATTGAGACACAGACAGGAAGAAAGAAAACCAAATTCATCCAATTTAAACCCTAATTTCAAGTATATGAAAGCTATATAACAGTATGTATGCGTTACCTCGACTGCACGAGAGAGAAAGGGTTGACCGAAGTAGTTTCAAAACCAAATTTGCCAAATTTAAATCCTAATTTCAAGTAAATCGAAGCTATATCAGCATACATCGGTGAGCAGTTGGAGAACACACATTTTTGTACAAATGAGGTGGAGCAAGCTACAATAGGGACAGACTTTGTACGACTTGAATCGATATATCAACAGATATGGTAATTGATTACAATTATTATTTTCCAATAAAGCAAAAAGCAATATCAAAATACATGAAAATTGAAGGGCACATTTTTCAACATTAAAATAGGGTAAATCAACCTGATGTACACAGAGGAACAAAATTATACTCCTTCTCCTTCTGTTTATGGAAATTGTAATGCCCATTTTTGGATGCGTGAAAAACTTTTGAGATGCATGATGTTGATTTCTCTTAAAAAGATTCGATTATTTTGTTGGTATTTAACGGTGTTTATGATATTTTTGTTACAATTGAAGACTTCAAAAGTTGAATTTTCATGAAAAGAAGAGAGTAGAAAATATAGTTAAGATTATTGTTATATCCTTCCAAAATTCTTCCTAAAATCCTGCTTACTGGATATCGTGCTTGCTTCTGTAAGTGTAATTTTTCTTTGGTAAATGTCTGTAAGCAGGATTTTTAGGAATCGTTAAACCCTATTTGAACGGAATTAAACGAAAAGAACACTAACCAGGGTCGCACTGCTGATAGAACTCTTCTACATCTATCAAAACTCGAACAAAATCAAAATTAGATTAACAAACTTAAGCAAATTAAACAAGTATAAACAAAGGGGAATCAAAAACTGAAATGAAATTAGAATTCAGTTAATCAAATTCGAAAATTAAGAGAAAACATTATAATTGCAGAGATAAGGGAAAAGGTGGAAGGAGGCGGAGCACAGAGCTCGCAAAGTAAAAATATAAGGTGGAAGGAAGTGGAGCACGAACCTGTAAATTGTCTTCTTGCCATTGGACCGTCGATGTGTAACGACCCAATTTTCACATCAAATTTTTTTTTTGTTTAAAAACGTTACTTTAGAAAATATTAATAACTAAAACATCATTCGATCAT